GGCCTTGCCCTGGGCATTGCCCTGGGCGTGGGCTCAGGCCCCAGGCCCTGGCAGCGGCCTCGGTGTGCCTGCCCGCCCACCCTGGAGCCTGTCCGGCAGGACATCCACCGGAAGCGCATCGAGAAGGACCTGAACGAGCTGCAGACGCTGATCGAGGCTCACTTCGAGAGCAGGAAGAAGGAGGAGGAGGAGCTCGTCTCGCTCAAAGACAGGATTGTAGGTGCCCGCCTCCCACCCGGGCTCCCGAGGCCCCTCCCTGTGCGCCCCCCTCCAGCTAGGCCTCGCCTCCTCCAGGCAGTCCTCCGGGAAGCCCCTCACCTGCTGGGAGAGGACTCTCCATTAGGAAACCCGCACCATCGCCTCCTGGGGCCCCGTCCTGTCCCCCAGCAGCCTGGGCACTCACTCCTTGGGGGCTGGAGCCGAGAGCAGCCAGGGGCCCGGCTTTGGGGGGACTGGTCAGTGCCTGTTGTCCTGGCCCTGCCTCCCTCCTGTTGGACACGACTCCCCTGCAGGGGAGGGAAGGTGTGGTGACTCAGGGATCCCCTGCCATTACATCACTGTGGAGTGGGGGTATGTGAAATTTTTTAATTTTTTATTATTGATTTCTGAGAGGAAAGGAGAGGAAGGAAGAGAGAGAGGGAGACATCAATGATGAGAGAGAATCATGGATCGGCTGCCTCCTGCACGCCCCACACTGGGGATGGAGCCCGCAACCCGGGCCTGTGCCCTGACCGGGAATCGAACCCCGACCTCCTGGTTCCTAGGTTGAGGCTCAACCACTGAGCCACACGGGCCGGCTGATTGTTTTTTCTCGGCACCGACCAGCTGCTGTGGCTGGGAGTGGGGGCCTGGCCGTCCATCCGAGCACAGGGCCTGGCCAGGGCGGGGAGGGTCTCACTCAGGGGAGACAGGGAGCCCTACCTGTCCTGTTTCAAATCATCGAGGCCAGTCCCGCGCTGGGTGCCCCTCAGCGGGGTCACCTGCACGTGTGGGGCGGGCCGGCCGCAGGCAGGACT